GGTGGTCCTGTGTGTGGGGGGGATAGGTGGTCCTGTGTGTGGGGGGGTAGGTGGTCCTGTGTGTGTGGGGGTAGGTGGTCCTGTGTGTGGGGGGGCAGGTGGTCCTGTGTTGGGGGTGGGTAGGTAGTCCTGCTCCATAAGGAGCAGTTAAAAACCAACAAACAAAACAAAAGATTGGGCATAAGTTGGTAACTGTTTACATCTGTGTGATGGGTTCAGGGAGCCTTACTATGTATATGTTTAAAATGTGCTGTAATTTTTAAAAAATGGTATTTCATCGTATGAATAGACTTCAATTTATTTATGCATTTATCTGTTAAAGGACATCTAGATTGTGTCCAGTTTTTTACCATTACAAGAAATGCTGCTCGGGACTTCACTGAACCTGTCCCTGGTGCATAGGTGTTTGAGTGCTAGCTGAATTCTCTATCCTTTTCCACTAGTCTATTTGTCTATTCTTGCAGCATTACCACCAAGGACTTAATTGCTATATCTTATTTTTTTCCTCTTTAGAAAAGACTTGGCTATTCCTGACCCTATTCTCAACCGTACAGATTTTAGAATCGGCTTGTCCATTTCTATGAGAACACTGTTTGGATTAATGGGAATTGTTCTGAACATACAGATTAATTTGGCAAGGAGAAACATCTTTGTAAAATTGAGTCTTTTCCTGCAGAATCTATGAGTCATTTGAATTAATGTTAGGGTATAACAAGGGTATTGCACATAAGATCAGTATACAAAATTCAGTTGCATATATGCAGTCCAATTCTCTATGTATCAGAAATAGGTAGCAAGACCACTTATAACAACCACCAAAATCACAAGGCACCCAGGTACTCATCTAACAAAAGACATACCAAGTTTTTATGAAGAAAAGTATGTAGTCATTGAAAGATTTATTTAGCTCTTCTTCAATGTCTAATTTTCTGATTGTTCTTATAAGTGGTAGTTTTCAAAAGTTGACAATGTACGTTGATTTTATGCCTGGCAATGCTGCTTAGCTTTCTTATTCATGACAACAATTTGTAGATACTTTCTGGTTTTTGTATAGAGGATGGTTATTAGCTGTGAATAATAATAGTTTTGTTTTTTCCCCCTTCTTATTTTTTTAATTTATTTTTCTTGTCTTACTGGACTGATCTCTGGTAATATGTTGAATAGAAGTGTGATGGCCATCTCTGCTCCCTATTTTAGAAGTAGTTTATTAGTATTTCCTCAGGTTAAGGAAGTTTCCTTCTGTTCAGAATGTGCTCAGATATTTTGTTTTGTGTTTCAAATCGTGAATAAATGCTTAAACTTACCCAGTTTTTTTTTTTTTTGCTTCTATTGATATAATATTCACAAAGACTTTTTTTCTTCTTTAATTTGTTGATGAGCGGAATTACATTAGTAACATTTCTAATATTAAAGCAACCTCTGTTTCTGTATAAATCTAACTTGGTCGTGAGGAATTACATTTTTCTTTAAAAATACTGCACTATTATGTTTTCTAATGCTCTGAAATTTTTGTTAACTATGTTCATGTTTCTGATTAGCTTGTAATTTCCTTTTTCATACTTATTTTTTAATCTGTTCTCATAAAATAAATAGGAGAGTTTCTCTTTTTTTTTCTCCTCCGAGAGAGTTTGTACAGGACTGCACAGTGATCTCTTTCCTTTGAGTGTCTGGTAGAACTCATTTGCAAAACCAAATACTATTGGTGTTTTATTCATATCATGTATTTATTTTTAAAATATGGAATTCTCATGAATTTGCATGTCATACTTGCACAGGAACCATGCTAATCTTTTCTGTATGGCCCCAATTTTAGTATATGAGCTGCCAAAGTGAGCCTGTCATTTTATTTATTTTTAATGGTTATAGGGCCATTCAGGTTTTCTATTTCTTCCCAAGTCAGTTTTGGCAAGTTCTGTTTACTTATTCACTTCACCTTAGTTTTTTCTTGTTTTGGGCATAAAATTGATCATAATGTTCTTACTATCTTTTTTGATCTCTGCAACATCTATATTAATATCTCCCCGTTATTATTCATAGTCTTTACTTATGTTGTTTATTCTGTTATCTTAACAAATTTTGCCAGGACTTTTCAAAGTACTAAAGTTTGATTTTGCTGCTCTTCTCCTTATTAAATCTTTGTCTTCTGTTTCATTAATTTCTTCCTTTGTCTCTACTGTTTCCTTTCTTTATCTTTGAGTTTATTTTGTTTTCTTTTTAACTTCCTAAATTGGCTGTTTAAATCATTACATTTCAAATTTGCTTTTAAAAATATGAGCCATTAAGGCCATATATTTCCTTTTGAGTGGCGTTTTAGTGGCATCCTATAAGCTTTGATGTACAGTATTTTCATTGTCGTTTACTTTAAA